TTTCTGTATAATTATCTTAGTCCGTACTCCGTGGTCTTATAAACCAAAACTAATATTATTAGTGATTCTGTCGATTTTTTTATCGGTTTTGATGAACGTCATACGTATTACGTAGCTCTTGGACATTTTTTCAATCTCATTATTTTGTTAATTTGTTTCATCATCAAGTATACTCGTAATCGTGGTAAGTACCAACCAATATCAAAATAATATTGTGTAGAATTCTATTTTATTTCATCCCTATTTTTTTTTAGTCCTACTGTTAGTTAATTCGATATCAGTTGACAGTAGTACCTACAGTGATTACTTTGTTCTGATTACTTTGTATACATTTTTTTATATTATTGTAGCTATTTTTACGTTTTATCATTTTTCAACTGTAGATTGTGAAAATGACGCTATGCTCTGTTTTTAATTGTAATGAAAGAAGTGAAAAGCAATCTTCATCTGGAGTTCATTTTCATGTCTTTCCTTGTCGATCCAAATCACCTACTAGGTTTCGAAGTTGGGTCAATTATTGTAAACGAAAAAACTTTAATCCTGGTAATGGCGCGAGAATTTGCTCAAAGCATTTTAAGACAGAAGATTATAACCAGTCAGATTTATTACGACAACAATTAATGCCAAATATAAAAGTCAAAGTAAAACTTAACGCCAATGCTGTTCCTACGGTTCCTCAAAATACACCTTCTACTTCAAATTCTTCAAATTTATCCGAACGAGAAAAGAGAAAAAGAAAAAAAGAAAAAAAACAAATTATATCTTCTATTATGACAAGTACACCAAAAAAGTTAAAGCCCTCATTTGGGTCTTTTGAAAATAGTGAATGTGAATCTAGTGATGTTGATGAAGTAGAAGGCGGTAATTTAGTACCGATTACAAATGAATCATTTATGGTTGGTAAAAAAAACGAGATCGGTATACAATGTGAATTAGGTAGTGAAGTATTAAAAAGTCACCATGATTTATCATTAAATTTATCACTTGATGAGTTTTCAACTTCGGAGGATGAAAGTTTTGAAGTTTATGATGAGGACATCGAAGAACTTCAAACTGTAAAAAATACCATAAAGAAATCTAAAGAAATAGAACATGATTCGTGTTACATTATTTTCTGGGAGTCTTTGTCAATTTTATTTACACGTTGTCATTACTGTAATGCTAAAGTGGAAAATATTCATAGTTACACCAAGGGAGCAATGTTGGCTGTACAAACTATATGTGAAAATAGACATATTTTCAAATGGACGTCTCAACCATTATCTGATAAACGTCTTGTAGGAAACATTTTAATGGGAGCTGCTTTAACATTATCGGGTGTATTATTTAATCAAATGAAAACATTTTGTTCATCTTTAAAACTTGCATTTTTTTCAAGAACAGTTTATGATAAAATCATTAACAACTATACAGCACCTGTAATAAAACTAATTTGGGATCAACACAGACAAAATAATATAAACGAACTAAAAACAGGTACAAGTATTTGGTTAGCTGGTGATGGTCAATTTGACTCCCCCGGTTTTTGCGCCAAGTACTGCACGTACTCAGTCATGGATGTCCGAAGCTCCAAAATAATAGATTTTAAAATTACTCAAAAAGGAATGGTCCAGGGTGACTTAGAAAAAAAAGCATGTGAATCACTACTTCAAGAACTTGAAAAAAACGACGATTGTAACATTAATGTATTTTTAACAGATCGACACAAGGGAATTCGTTGTTATATTCGAACACATCATCCGAACATCGAACATGAGTTCGATGTTTGGCACTTATCAAAAAGTTTGACAAAACGACTAAAAACACTAGAAAAAAATCATCCTAGTGCCTTTATGTGGAAAACGAGTATAATAAACCACTTGTGGTGGTCTGCTCAAACGTGCAATGGTAATGGATCTGTATTAGTTGAAAAATTTACATCAGTTTTGTATCACATTTCAAATATTCATCAGTGGAATGATAATGGCCAGATAAAAAAATGTGAGCATGATCCACTCACCGACGAAGAAATAAAAAATAAACTTTGGATTCATAAAAATAGTGATTCATATTTTGCGTTAAAAAAAATTATCACCGCCAAAGATTTATTGAAAGATTTACCTCATGCTAAACATTTCATTCACACGGGCCGCCTAGAGTCATACCACAACACACGTTTAAAGTATATGCCAAAACGTATACATTTGAAGTACGAAGGCATGTATATTCGATCAATAATTGCTATTTTAGATCACAACAATAATACCGACAAAAAAATAGTTGGAGATAAAATGGTTTATTCCAAACCTCTAGGACGGTATACAATAAAAAATACGTATGAAAACACGGAAGGAAATTGGAGAATAGACATTATGAAGAAGGTCCGTTTGATGGCGATAGAAGGTTCTTCGGGACCACTGAAACTACCAGAAAAAAATTTAATACCAAAAAATATTGTACAGACACCAAAGCCAGATATTGAAGAATTAAAATCAAAAAAGTATTCTAGGTTTAAGTAATGTGAATTATTGTAAAAATAAGTACCTATAGTTAAACAATGTTTTCAAATATTTAAAAAATATATTACTATGTGATTATAGGATTGCTCCTATTATTAATATGTAATTTTACTGTAATTTCGTGTGTTAAAGATAAAAACAATAGCTATATTTTATTGCTTGTGGTTTATTCCAACGCTTTCTATACACAAGTAAAAAAAAAAAGAGAAATTCCTAAGTATTTTTGTGCACTACGAATTACGATTTAACTATAGTTTTTAAGAATGTAAATTAATAGATTAACCAACTATTATTAAAACAATAATATTATCCATTTCCAGTTTATTATGCATTGTTTACAAAATATCGATCAGTATATTACAACAGTAATGTCTTAGTCTACTTTCAGATCAGTTGCTGTTCGTTATGGCGAGTGTAAAACCTTATCAATTTGAACCAGATTGTTTAAATGAGTGGGATTCAAACAATTTTATTAAAAATAATGATTTTGAAATCAACGTAGATAATCGAAGTGGTAAATTAAATTGGTGCAAATGTGGTCAGTGCGTAGTTATGACGACGGATCAAGAGAGCGTCTGTTGTCAAGAAAGTGAAAAAGTAAAACAAGTTAGTGGAATAGTTGGTTGTGTGACAAACAATGTTTTATTTAACAAACTAGTTGTAGACAAAGACGTTTTAAATATTTCTCGACATAAAATGATTTTAAAGTCTAAAAAAAAAAAAAAAAAAAAGCATTGTGTAAAAGTGAACCACAAAATAAAGTCTGGCGATACTTGGCTTACAAACAATTTATTTCGTGGATAAATGCATGGACAATGATTGGAAAGGGAAATAGGATAGTAATTCCATCATGTGTGATTTACAAAATAAGACAGACTTATCCAGAAGAAAATGGTGTATATGTAGGATTTCGGCTTAACGATAAACTTCCTACCTAAATTCAGTATTTATAATTATTGTATGTACAAATATATTGTTTTTTTTCAAATACCTACATATGTTACAACAATTATATTGATTTTATTTTGATACAATACTTACAGTAAAATTATATAAATTTAAATTGTTAACAACGTTTGTATATACACTTGTAATAATAATAAGTTAACAAATAATAAAATTATGATTAATACGTACCTAATAAAACACATTGTTTTGTCACTCATATGAACAAGATGTTATTGATTATAAATAAATAATATCATAGGATGGTATCATATTATCACAAACATAATACTTACATGTTTAGAAAATTATGTGAAATATTTGAATGTTTAAAAACATAATATAGGAATCAATTCACTAAGAACAGTGAAAACATACCCGATTATACAGTAACGGGCGCGTGCATTGCATATACGCCGCCGCCGCGAGTAGGATCTTATGACGTCACGCGTTATTTTAAATACGTCTTAACTCGCAAACTATTCAAGGCAGAAAAACATTATTGGTGTCATTTTTTTAGTCAGATTTTTTGTGATTTTTTAAATACAATTCAATTTTAAGTGTTTTATGGTCCTTTAACTTAACAATTATACACAATGAGTCAGTATAAATTTACTTCTGCGCTAAGGGAAAATCTAATTTCCGAAGTTCAGTTGAGACCAATTTTGTGGAATGATCGACTAAAAGATTACAAAAACACAGAAAAAACCAAAAAAATATGGGCTGAAGTGGGTGCAATTTGTGGTTTGACAGGTAAGTAACTAGTTAGTAGTTGGCAATACATTTCTGCTAAGTATTTTATAAAATATATAGATATAAAATAGCCAGAAGCTAGTATTTTTTATTGTTTGAATACCTACATAACCTACCCCACCTACGTAGGTACATCGAACATGTATCTTATATGAATAATATTAAAAATATTAATTATACATATTATGTATAACTATTATTTTTACTTTCTGGTTTTAGAATATTATTTTTGCATTACTAATAATACAAATCTGAACACGAAAATACTTGAAAACAAAATAATAATTATATTTTTGTTTTGTAGTACAAGTTATTAAGTATAAAATTATAAAATATAAATACAAGTTAAAAATATAACAAAATAAAATAAAACGAAATAGTTATTTTTATCGAGGACCTAAAATAATAATAGTACAACAATACCTAGTTATTTTTAAAGTGATAATTACATTGACTGATAGTACAAAGTTAAACTGCAGAAAAATGTTTTGTAACATTAAAATATTAAATTATCAAAACTGAAATGATATATCCTTAAATAATAATATAATATAAATTAAAATATTAAATTAGACAAGTATAAACTAATATTGTAACTAGGTAATAATAAATATGCGTATATTATTATTTAAATATTTTATTCTGTTTTATTAATTAAGTATATTAATGTTCTATAAAAAAATTTGCGAATTTTTCTCTCACTTCTTTTGCTTGTTGTGAATAATTTGGGTTCCTTCCTTCAAAATTATTTTCTATCTCGTTTTGTTGACTTCCTTGATTTTGGGTTATGTGGTAATAGTCAATATCATTATCCCCATCTTTTGTCCTTATCAAATTTTGTAAAATACAAATACATTTTATTATTACTGCAGCTCTCTTTGAATCAACCTCAATATCTTTTCCTAGAATTCTCCATTTTGTTCTCATTATTCCATATACGCATTCTATGCATACCTAAACCATAACCGAACCTAACCTGCCGATAATCTATTATTAAAATTTTCTTTAATTTGATTCAAATTACGACTAGGATAAGGTCTTAATAAGTACGATTTTAATGGATAAGCTTCATCTCCGATAAACACAAATGGTGCTTCAATGTTTGTTCCTGGTAGATTTTGGTTCGGTGGTATATTTAAACTATTTGATTCCAAATGTTTGAATAACGATGAAGAGGCAAATGTCCCACCATCGCTTTGTTTACCTCTTGCCACTACCTCAATGGTGATAAATTTCTTTTCTGCATCGGCTACACCTTGTAATACCAACGAAAAATATTTTAAGTAATTAAAATGACTTGTACCGGAATTAGCAGGACATTTAATTTGACAATGTTTGCCATCAATAGAGCCCAAACAATTCGGAAAATTC